GCTATGACGAGTGGTGAGGATTTAGAATCATATACAGAAATGCAATAATTGTCAATTTTTTTACAATGCAGAAAATAATTAAGCTCAGGACAAAAATATAATGTAACTATCATAGGGATATGTTGCTTGGGGTTACCCTGTCATTCATGATGTTTCCAAACAGTTCGGTGAAGACACGTTTAACCGAGCCAAATTGTTGAATGTGGGCTTCCTGGAAGCCTTAAGAGATAATGAGAGCTATGACTGCTTCATATTCAGTGATGTTGACCTTGTGCCCATGGATGACCGCAATCTTTATCGCTGTTATGACCAGCCTCGGCACTTTGCTGTTGCCATGGATAAGTTTGGTTTCCGGTGAGTAAATGGATTGGGAATTTCCTTGCCAAATGGACTCAAACTTTGATTTGGATTGGAATTTCACTATGCTATTGGCACAGTATAGTATAAGATACTGATAAGTTCCCATCTGTTTCTTAATACATTTCAAAACCAGCTCTTTGGGATTTCATTCACATGAAATTCTTAACTGGAACTCACAGGTATATGTAGTTTTTTTTGCACTCAGGTTATTCCTGAGATACCAGAGGCTCTTCGAAATTTTTAGACTCAAGAATAAAGGAAGAAGCAGAATCTGGACTTGTTTTTGTTTAATAAATGCACATACCTAAGATATAACTTACATTCACACTGCACACTTAACTCTGTCCCTAAATCTGTCCCTTTATGAAAATTTCTGTTATCTGGCACAAAAACTATATACTAGAGAGGTAAAAACTTAGGCTGAAATGGTTTGCGAATATGTCATATTGTAAGCCTTGTTATCAGTTTTTCCAGAACACTGAAAATAAGCAAGAAAAAAAGGATATGATCCTGGATTTATCAGATAGAATCTGGGGAGTCCAATTAATGTGATGAGAAATTGGACAGGATTTACAGAGAACATGCTATTGTGGGAACGATATATGTGACATAGATCACGTCACAAATATGGTTTAGAAATCAGGGCTTAATCTACAACAGGCTTTCTAGATTGATCCTCATCTCTCTTGCTTGTCCCCAACAGGTTACCTTACTCTGGCTACTTTGGAGGAGTCTCTGGCCTAAGCAAGACACAGTTTCTGAAGATTAATGGCTTCCCTAATGAGTACTGGGGCTGGGGTGGAGAAGATGACGACATATTTAACAGGTATATGAGAGATTTCAGTTGGGCTAAGCCCATCCAGTAAATTATACTTGTTCTCTGTGGGTTGGTGGCATGAACTGTGTAATCCATTTTTCCATATAGTGTCCACAGCAGCTGTCTCCAACCTTTCTGGTGCAGACTGGCAGAGGTGGTGGCAGGATGAGGGGGAAAGGGGGGGTGGTTTTCTGCATGCGCTGCTGTAACCTCATTCAGCTTCATGCATGGATGCACATGCATGCGCACAGTGGTTAGAATGCAGTACTGCAGGTTACTTCTGCTGCCTGCTGGCTGCCTGCAATTTGGCAGTTCGACCCTCATCCTTCCAAGGTTGGTAAAATGAGGACCCAGATTGTTGGGGGCAACAAGCTGATTCTGTAAACCGCTTAGAGAGGTCTGTAAAGCGCCATGAAGCGCTAAGTGCTAAGTCTAAGTGCTATTGCTATCCTTGATCAATTCATGAAAGCCAGGAATGTTGGTGGCAAAAGACTAGAGAGGGTTTGGGAAAATCCCATTATTTTAAAGGCTTGTTTGAAACTCACTGTTTTGCTAACCACTGTCCTATACTGTTCTTTCACAGGATCTCACTTAATGGCATGAAAGTATCACGTCCTGACGCTCGCATTGGGCGCTATCGCATGATCAAGCATGAGCGTGATCGACATAATGAACCAAATCCCCAACGGTAAGAATGTATCTGTGTTAACTTTCTATCTAATCCTCATAACTTTCATCATACTCTCAAACCACAGACTACAAATCAATTTTCTGTTGCAAAAGCAACCTTTCAGACATCTATTGGAAGGTTGCGAGACTAATCTTTCAATGATCTTCTCTTTATCAAAGGGAGATGAATTATATGCTGTAAACATGTTTATGTTTCTCCTTGTAGCAGAGGAGTATAGACTATTTTGTGAGAAGAGGACAAAGACCATAGCCTTTCAAAAGAAAGTTGAAACCACAATTTAAAAATTAAGGAAACTAAAATAAAGAAGTGGGTGGGAAAAGGGAAAGGAATTTGATTAAATAATTAAATAAATAAAACCAATATTTAATCCTCTTATATTTAATAGTTCCCCCTTCTATCAACATTGAAAAATAGAATTTGCTGAAAACTTTGGAAGGAGGTACGAAGTTATATCCTTGAGTCTTAGATTGTACTTCCCTGCTGTAAAATGTCTCCAAGGGGAATTTTATGCTGTCTAGTCTTCTCTTTCCCATTCTACTCTCATTTGCCTGTCATGCCTATATATGTACATGTATCAATGGTTAGATTAAAACTATGGTCTACTGATGCAGGAAAGGGTAGAAATGTTTGAATGGACTGCCCTAGCATTTACTATATAGAGCAGGGGTCCACAGCCCTGGTCCACAGCCTACTACCAGTGCGTGGCCTGTTGGGAACCGGGTTGTGCAAGTGGCAGGCGAATGCGCGAAGCTTCATTTGTGCATCTGCGAGATTAGGTTGCACGTGTAAAACCATCCCCACCCATCACGCCACCGCTACCATCGGTCTGTGGAGCCAGAAAGGTTGGGGACCACTGATGCAGAGAATAGACAGTGTGGGATAACTAGCATGGTATAAATTTGATATTGATTTTCATAGGTTTCCCTTAGCTTATTTGATAAGTGAGGCAGGATTGAATTCCTGTCAACCTTAATCTTTAAATATAATCTGTTTTCACTGTTCTCTTGCCAACTATTTCACTTTGAATTCCACTCAGGGCATGTAATTTGAGGAAGATTCTTGTATAACCTCTTCCTGAATGTTGTGGGCTCCATGGGAAGATTTGGGTAGCGACTCTGTCTTCAAATGATGTAATTTAGTTTTGGCAGCCCTGTATAGTACTTGTGGAATAACAAATGCGTTATGGTGAAAACTACAGAAACCACTGCATCATTCATTAATTTATCTAATGTTATGTTATATAATGCACTGATCAGAATCCCATCAAATGATGTCATGTTCTATTTAATCTTTTGTTCCATTCACTTGAGGGATCGTTGTTTTAGCCTATGCCAAAGTAAACTGTAAAATATAGGTGAAATATGAGGTTCTGTTTTGTTCTTGTGGCAGGTTCACCAAAATCCAGAATACCAAGGTGACCATGAAACGTGATGGCATTGGTTCGCTGCAGTACCGCCTCGTGGAGACGTTTCGCCGTCCCATGTACACCAATGTGACTGTGGATATTGGGCGACCACCACCACGCCCTCCTCGGGGTTGACTCTGCTGCTTGGTCCTGCCCATGGTCCCATGCATGAGGAGCAACATGGATCTCAGCCCTGACCGGTTCAGAGGACTGTGTCCTGACTTGGACGACCTGTCTGCCTCCTTTGTGGGAAAAGGGAAAAGGCTCAGGACACCCCTTTGTCTTGTCCTGGCCTTTGGCTGAAGACCAGCTCCTTAACACTAGTCAGTTCTCCGCAGTGCCCTTCAGATTGGAGAATGAATGTGTGTTATATGCTTGGTCCGGTGTTTCAGTTTTGGGCAGAGCCAAGCTCCGATTGCTGAGGAAGGCCCCGAGAGCAGAGAAGCCTTGGGTAAGGCTTTGACCTTCCCTTTGTCTCTGGCAGAGTCCATCCTCTCCCTGAACTTTTTGCAAGGCTGTGTCCCTGAAAGATTCCTAAGAGTACAGTAGCTGCTCTTTGCTTCTTCTCACAGACTGAAGGACTACTGCCTTTTGAGCCTTTATTCCAGGCACTGTCTGGTCTTACAATGGCTGCCAGCTACCAAGGTGTAGAGATGGTTCACAATTGAGGAGAGCTCCAAGGCCTGTAAAAGCTCTAATGGGTTTGACCCACTGCCCACCTCCATTCCTGGCTTGGTGCTGTCCCCTGCTGGATCCTGGATGCTTTTTTTCTGACTCCAGTACACAGGGGTGTTTTATACAAATCCTCATTAGAATACTTGAGTGCTTCCTGGGTTAATGTATGTGTAGCCTGTCTGGCATGGTACAACAGGACTTTCTTCTTAGCTGTGATTTCTCTTCTTCCTTTGAATGGAGCAGATTGGATGGGTAGTGAGGTTGTACCTTTTAGTAGATGGATGTATGGCTTGACATACCCTAAAGTGGGCTCGCTCCTCACTTTCATAAGCACGCAGAACCTATAGCCATTGTTATAGAACGGAATAACGTGAAGGTAGATTTCAGCCTGTTTGCCCTTCATCCACTCAACTTCCACTCCTCAAGCAGTTCTACCAGCCCTCCAGTTTCTACCCGGCATCCCGCCCATAACCACTCATTCTTTTATTTTTTTTATTTTTTATTTTATCAAACTTCCCTCAGTCACAGCCCGGATGGTATCTTGATGGCAGCCCTACACCCTAGTACTTGGAGCTAGGAAGCTGCTGGTGTTCCTTCATTCTGGTTATGGTGCCTGGCAAGTAGAATCACCTGCATCCGTCCACTTTGGGGTGACAACTGGGCCAGGCTGGAAGCCAGGCACCAGCATGTCCAATAGCCCGGGTGTTGGTGACTTTTGTACATTTGAATGTTTTGATCCCTTTTCAAGCCTATGGTGAATGCAACATTGGTCACTATGATCAGACTTTTGTATTCAGTAAAGTTTCAAAACTTGGAAACTCCTTGTGTCTAGAATTCTGTAGGAGCCATTGGGCTGGGACTACCCATACCATTGCCTTTATTAATCTAGTGCTCTCCAGACATGCTAGGAGTTCAGTACCCAGAATTCTCAGCCTTTGACTATACTGAAGTTTGTGGAAGAAACCAGATTGGACATTCCTCCTCTAGTAGTTTCCTTTTCTTTATTCTTCTCAGCAAGGCCAAATTTAAGACATTTCCAAAATACATTATAATTTCTTACACTGTTTGGATTTTAGGGGGTAGAAACCTGAGTAATTGGCCCGGGAAATTATACATATAGTTGCACAGATGTAGAGGAAAGAGAAGCTGTTTTATAAGGATCCTTTATTGTCACTTAGCCAAGGAGTACATATAGATGAAGCTATTCAGTATTCACATGGTACAAAATAGGCTGTCTTTTGAGTGGAAGTGACTGGAATTCTGGGGAAATAGATAGGAAAATACATAGGAACAGATAGGAAAATCAAATCAAAATATAGAAGAGATTGGTATTGGCAATGTGTTTGGGGAGCAGGGATAGGAAAGTTGTTGCTTTGCAGCTGTTGCAGAAGCATATAACCCAGCAACCTTAGCCAGGAGTGCTATTGGCAAGGGATGATGGGAATTGTAGTGTAGCAGCAACTGAAGGGTCTTTTTTGGAAGGTCTAGGTAGCAGGAGTAGGGAACTGGACTCAGATCAGGGTCTAGGATAAGTAATTGTAGTTTGGAGTTGGCTGAAGAGCATCTGGTGGGGTCTTTGTTTGTAACTTAGCCCTTAAAGAGATTATGAGATGTGGTTAAGAAACCACTTAATATTTAAAGGAGTTAGGAATGGTGCCTACTTGGAACACGGCATCTTGCCAGCTGCTCACATTTAGCTAAGCGGTTTCCTTCCCAGTAGCCAGCATCTTGGCCATCGTGACAGCGGCAGCGAATACAGGGACTGACCCAGACGCTCTCTCCAGCAGGAATAATGTTGTGCTGGCTCCCATCTACATAGCAATTTGGTCCTGTGGGAATAAAAGTATTTTCTCAACGTTTCACCCATATGCTGATATACCGTGAAGATAAAACAACAGAGACCATCAGTCATTGACCCTCTAAATGTAGCTTGCATGAGATATCAGAAAGAAAATGGATGTTCTATGTGGGGGCGGCATAGAAAAGGCAAACACAGGTGTAGACCTCACTTAATATCCACAAATGAGCCTGGAATTATGATTGGTAAGTTGAGGTCATTAAGCAGATCACAATGTGACCTTATTTGATTTTACAATTCTTTATATGATGCTCACAAAATGAATTACCACAGTCATTAAGCGAACCACAGGGTCATTAAGCAAATCCATTTGCATGCAATGGACATTTTTTGCCGGAAACCAGCCAAAAAAAAAAAAAAACCACAAAGTGCAAAAAAAAAGAAAAAAGAAAGAAAGCAAATTGCAGTTATACAACCACAGGACACTGCAACTGGTCATAAATACAAGCCAGTTGTCAAGCACCCTAAATCCGATCATCTGACCACAGTGTGTATGTGTGCAGCAATCATAGATTTGAGGATGAGATTGCCATAACTGAACAATTGTGAGGACTGCCTGCATTCCCATATTTTGGAACATAAGAGTATAACTTTATAGTACTTATATTAGCCACAGAAATCTAACTTGTTCTTTACGTTTTCATTAGGGCACCCCTCAAAGAGGAAAACAAGGGCCATAGCCCAGTGGTTACTTGGCACACCTTCCCCTTTTAATTTCTCACCTTCCTTGCAGATGGGGCAGCAATGGCCTTTCTCATAGATGGGATTGACACATGGTGGAGGGGCACAGTCTGCTACCAGGCAGCGGGCAATTCCATCCAATTCGCAAGTACACTGCTCACATTCAGAAGGCTGTGGGGAGAACAAAGACTGATCAATGGGACACAGCAGTTTTCAATCATTCCTCTATGTGCACAACAGCATTGGAAGAATTTATTCCCAAGCTGTGCCCATCCTGTGTAATACTTCGCAACATACATATTTTTACAGACTGACGCACTTATTTTGAAGGTTATTTCTGCACTGTCACATTTGTCATTCTGCAAGGTCCTGGAAGACGCCTTCTGGGCAAGCCTGCCTCTTCTTTTTCTTCATTCTCTCACTACAATGACTCTCTTAGTGCTGTATGAACAGTTCACTATCACTGCAGTCACCTAGTAAGTATTTGTAAGACATAATCAGTCCCCTTTAAACAAAAACTTGACAGAGGCCACCTTTTTAGAGACAGACAAGAACAACTGATTTCAGTATTGATCCCATGCTTACGCAACTTCCTTCTTGCTTAGTCACACTTCCCTTTTCAGGTCCTGCAGAAGTTTCTTCCAGAAAGAGTTTTTCTAAAAAGCACTAAGAATAAGATGCTGCCATGTTGCTATTGGGATCCTGCCAGCTGAAGAACCTCATATTTATGCTCAAATCTGCCATAATAGTGTTACGGCAACAGGTGTTTTTTTTTAAAGGCAAGTGTGTGATCCAAGCAAGTGGGATAAAGCATTGCCCAAAAGATTTATTTGGCAGAGATGTCACTTCTTCATAAGTGATACATTTTACCACTATTTTCACATTTTTCTGCAATTTTGCAGCACTTGCAAATGTTTTCACAGACTTTACAATACTAAGATGACACCATCAGAGGGCACCATTCATTCATTCAGGTTGGCTTCAGTTTTAAGAGAAATGCAAGCCTCCAATAGGATCTCTTGAGCTATTAGCCACCACTTTTATACAGTAGGAAAAATAAATAAATTTCTGCTCTGTTTGTGCATGTAAAGATTGTGGTGTGGCATTTCACAGCAGGATGTACTAAACACATCTACAACAATGGATGTGATGCCCTCCAGTAGTCCTATGACATGATCTGCATTTAAATACTCAACAAAGTTGTTACTGTTATTTTCAGTTCATTATATCTCTAGTTAGCAGCAAAGCCTACCACTAGTTTTAGGGAAGCCAAACTAATGATAATGAATAAATATAAATAAGTAACTATCAGCTAGACCCTATCCTCTTGTTCCCTTCCTGCCAGCCTCCATATTTACTTAAAGATAAAATCCTCATATTATTCTTCGCTGTATTAAATTCTTTCTCCATTGGACCAGCAAATGGTTATATAAACTCACACCACTATTGAACTGTTGGAATCATTTTAGTTGGCCCCATGGACATTATATAGGCCTGTTGCCAAAAGACACAATCAAAATCATAAAACTAAAACAAAAAGACTTTTGTTTAATATAAATGCTTTCCATGGCTTCTTAAAAATCCCCAAAGACTTTCCAGATCTGATTTGGCAAGATGTTGCCCTATTCTAGTGATGCAGAAAAGCATTTTTTCCTTCTTCCTAAATTGCTTGTCTTGTTTCTTATACCAAAATGTAATCACCTTCAGCTAACCACATATTTTTTTAAAAAGCTATTTGCCAACAACATTTCACTTTTAAACAGATGCAAGGTGTTACACAGTTTTATTGTTACTTTTACTAAAAATCAAACATGCAATATTGTACCCCTCAGAGGTGGTATTCAGCAGGTTCTGACCAGTTCTGGAGAACCAGTAGTAGAAATTTTGAGTAGTTCAGAGAACCGGCAAATACCACCTCTGACTGGCCCCACCCCCATGTATTCTCTGTCTCCTGAGTCCCAGTTGATCGGCTGGGTCTTTTGTTGCCCTGCACAGGAGAACGGAGCTGGAAAGCAGGTTAGTGGGGTAGGGAGGCAATGGAGATTTTGCAGTATCCTTCCCCCAGGAGTGGGGAGGGAATGGGGATTTTACAGTTTCCTTCCCCTGCCATGCCCACCAAGCCACACCCACCAAGCCACACCCACAGAACCAGTAGTAAAAAAATTTTGAATCCCACCACTGGTACCCATCTCTAAAAAGTTCTGGGCAAAGTTCAAAATTTAGGCCTCTAAAAGGGCTGTTTGTGCCTCACAAACAATGGAAGGAAGCACTCTCTTGTTTCAGCAAGCTTGAAAACAAAAATATGCCACTTTTTAAAGTGAATTAACTTTAATGAATTTAAAACAGTTCTGTTGGCACAGAAGCATGAAAAAAGTTGGGACTGCTCTAATGAATAGGGGAAGATGCTTACTCATGAGATCCAAAGCACTTCTCTCAAATCATTTTCAAGGGCGCACAATCTTACTCATGAAGGGATGAGAGGAAAATTAATGGGAAGGGAAATAAATATTTTTGATGAACTAGACTCTATTTCCTCACTGCAAAACGTCTTAAGAATACTCAGCGAAATTGACAGCAAGGACATTATCTGCCCACTGTCCAGGTATGAGGCTTTGGCCCTCACTTCATGGGAGTGATTCATGAGATTCTACAGGAGTAGAGCAGGCTTTAATCTTCCACTAGCAACATCTTCGTCTAGATCTGTTTATTCAGCTATTAGGAACAATCTTTGTCCCTCCCTCATTGCCCAGTTCCTCCTCCTGCCAGCAAGTTCTTTGGCCTGACAACTCACCTCTTCAAAATACATTGCAAACCATTTTAGCAGTAGCCAGAAAGAAGGTCCCAAAGTGATTTAGTGTCCAGACTGAGAGAAACAGAGGATAGTGGAATAGACAGCATTTGTACTGTAGGCAACAAAGTCCTTATTTTACTTTTGTGCTGTCAAGACCCTTTGATTTTAAGAAGCCTCTTTTTTTCTAATCTAATTTCTAATCTAGTGCTTGTCACCCACCTCACTTTCCAGTACCCTGTAAGAACAATACTTTGCAGTGGCAATTCAGTTTCCATTTCATAACCAAACTATGCTCCACGAAAACCAGGTCTTGCCTGTGGAAGTGAACAAGCCCGGACTATATTGTTAATGTCCCAACTCGGATCTTCAATACTTCTCTCGACCACTTTGTTTGTTACCAGCTTTCACTTTTAACCCTGGTTAAGGAGGTTCGCGCATTCAGAGAGGCGGCCACCAACCCATCCCTGGCCTCGATGTTGTTGCCGGTTGGTTTTACACCCAGACAGACAGAGCAGCGTTCGTTTGCTTGCCTCACCTGGAAATGCTGCCCCAGTTCATAAACCTGTCCTCGGTGCTCACAGCCGACGCGTTCGCAGCGCGGACAGCAGTCGCCCGGATAGTGGCTGACGTGAATGCAGGCAGGCGGCAGAGCGGCGCAGTCCGTGCGGGCACAAGCGGGCCCTTCCGCCGTGCACTCGCACTGGATGCAGGGGTCGCTATCCAGGGAATACCATTCCCCTCGGAAGTACAGGCTCCCATTGGCATCGCAAGTGCTGACTGGCCCCGCCAGCCCGGGCTGAGTCCCCCCCAGAGCAGCCAGGAGCAATGCCAGGCTCAGCCGTTCCAAAGGACCCAAAGGCATCGCGCGAAACTCCAGGGGCGGCTGGGCAGAGCGGAGAAGCGGCTGGAGAAAATCCGTTTTTCTCCGGGCAAAGGGATCCAGGCCGTGGCTGACAAGCAACCTGGCCGGCCCTGCGTTCCTTTTGCCCTTTTGTGCAGCCGCCCGCCCCGGAGTGAAACCCGAGCACCCCTTCCCCAAAAGGGAGGGCGGAACCTCGGAGCTGGGAGGGGCAGATGCATTGCCCCCCTGCCTGCCTGCCTGCCAGGCTGGTCCCGCGCTCCACCCCGCCTACACTCACACACACACACACACAGCCCCCGGACCTTCCCCTTCGCACTTCGCCCCTCGAAGGATCGCGCTGCCTCCCGGCTCGGATGCCCCCGCGCCGCCTTTCCCTTCGATGCCCCTTTTTTACAGCTCTGGGAACGCGAACCGAGGAAGAAATGCAGCAAGCGGCCGGATCGGGATACATTTCCCGCCCTTTGCAAAAAGGCTGTTTCCGAGGATGCTGGTCTGCAACGCTGGGCTCGCGGCTGTTTCAGATTTCCGGACGCGGCTCCTTTAAGAGGCGAGGTTTCCGAGGAACGGCGGGGGGGGGGAGAGTTACCATAGAGACAAGGAGTTGATGCTCCCGAGAGCTCGCGCGGGAAGGTGAAGAATTTGGGGGGGCGGGGGGAGAAGTGGAGGGAAGGGTTCTCCCCACTCCCCGTGGAGCTGCGGGCAGGGGGTGTTGGTCAGTCTGCGGGCAAAAGCGAGAGGGAGGCGAGGAATAAAGTTGGCAGCACAATGGAAGCGGGGCCCAATGGAGGGGGAGACTGCGGGGTTAGTTGGGCCAGGCAAATGATACCGGGACGAGCTGCTCAAAATGGTGGAGCTGGGGATAATGGAGAACAGGTGGGCTTGTTGGCTTGCAGGGATTAGGGAAGTCTTCCCAAACCTTTTCCTCCTTTACTCCAAAATATCCCCTTTTTTAAAGCCCAATGTAAGTAAAACGGTTGAATGTTCTTTTTTGATTAAAAGTAAATGGGCTCGTTGGTTGTTATGCAAAGAAAACACTTGAACCAGATTTAAGTAATGTTTATTTTTATTTATTTATTTTATTTATTTATTTTGATTTGTCAATCGCTTACAAGATAATAGGTATAAGTATATACACAGTTATGAATACGTGAAATGGGTACATATAAGAAAAATGAAAGAAACAATAGGACAGGCACGGTAGGCATGTTGGTGTGCTTATGCACTCCCCCTACAGACCCTTTAGGAAAGGGGTGAGGTCAATGTACCCAGGTTGGGGAAGGTCTGGATCAGTAGGTCTTAAATTATGAGTTTGATCTATTGCTTAATGGCTTCAGGGACTGTAACTATACTTTGTTGTGAATGATTAATACACAGTGATGATGATGATGATGATGGCTGATCACACCTTTAGGTTGGATTTGGCAATTTTATCAACCTGTTGAGCCCTTCTCAAAGATTTGGGATAGGCAGATTTAAATTATTAATAAATTTTATTTTATTTTATTTATTTGATTTGTCAATCGCTTACAAGATAATAGGTATAAGTATAAACATGAGTAAGAATACAGGAAATAGGTACGAATAAATGGGGACAATAGGACAGGGACAGTAGGCACGATGGTGCACTTATGCACGCCCCTTACAGACCTCTTGGGAATGGGGTATATAATGCAACATTAATAATAATGATGATAATGATGATGATGATGATGATGTGTGGATCATAGACATTGCCATATCTGGTGACAGCAGAATTGATGAGAAACAACTTGAAAAAATCACCAGATATCAAGTCTTGAAAATCGAACTGCAGAGACTCTGGCATAAACCAGTGCAGGTGGTTCCAGTGGTACTCAGCACGCTAGGTGCTGTGCCTAAAGACCTAGGCGAGCTCTTAAAAACAATTGGCAATGACAAAATCACCACTGGTCAACTTCAGAAGGCGACCTTGCTGGGATCTGCTCCCATAATCCACCAATACATCACGCAATCCTAAACACTTGGGAAGTGTTCGACTAGTGATTTGTGATACGAAACACAGCATAGTTATCTTGTTTGCTGTGTACACTGTTGTTTTTTGTGTCAAATAACAACAACAACAACAGTTAAATAGTATTAGTCTTAATGCTGCTTGTGAAGAAATGGGGAAAAATTGCCAAGTGTCCTTGCATTGGGCGCCTGTCACCTTCTATTTAATCCATACACCGGTATCTCCTTCTTTCCTCTAATGCATTAGAGCTGGGAATTTCTATAGTTACCTTGGAATTGGACTGTGCCCCCATGTTCCCCTTGCCCAGAGTCTCCTGGGAGCCCTTGAAGCCAGTGCCATCGCTCTGGAGGATGATAGAAGAGCAGCTTGCGCCCAGCGAGAGACTGGAAGTGAAGACTATTTTGGGAACTGATTTCGTGGAACACAGCTTGGAGCTTCATAATGAGGTTTGGAAGAGGAACTTCAGGCCGACTGTATGACTTGAAAGAGTGGTTTATACATTTTCCTATTGAAATAGTGCATATAGAGGGGCTACAAAAATCTCATTTGAATGGGTGTGGATAAGTGGTGGGATGCAAAAAATTTTACTGGCGTGGCTTGGTGGGCATGGCAGGGGAAGGATACTGTAAAATCTCCATTCCGCCCCCCCATCCCACCCCACTAACCTGCTTTCCAGCTCCTTTCTCCTGTGCAGGGCAACGAAAGAAGACTCGGGAGGCAGAGAATAGATGGGGGTGGGGCCAGTCAGAGGTGGTTTTTACCGGTTCTCCAAATTACTCAAAATTCCCGCTACTGGTTTTCCAGAACTGGTCAGAACCTGCTGAATACCACTTCTGATGTGGATGGTGTCAAGAGGGCTACCACCTTCACATTTGGGTCCCTTCAGTTTTTGGCAAAGAGCTTAATTGAATAAAAACTTCATTGTATTATGTATATGGAGCTGCTTTAATATGGTGTGCTTTTTTTAACATGGGAACTGTAATCCAAATACTTTTGGAATACTAGGTTGGGGAAAGGTGCTGAAGGTACACACATAGGACCCCACCAGCCAGTTTGGTCTACTAATTAAGGTCTCAGGCTAGAACAGAGGTCTCCAAACTTGGCAGCTTTAAGACTTGCGGACTTCAACTTCCAGAATTCTCCAGCCATCTATGCTGGAGAATTCTGGGAGTTGAAATCCGCAGGTCTTAAAGTTGCCATGTTTGGAGACCTCTGCCCTAGAACACTAGCCTATAAATGTAAAAAATAAACTTTCCCCACTGGAAGAATATGGTAGGCACTTCCAGTCAAGCTGTTAATTGTGAAATTATAGTGCCTTGTTCACAGAATTGAATTGTATATAGGACACAACAGACATCATTGAAAGTATATATATTTCTACTTTGTCTTTCTTCCTGGTGGGGGGGAACATCCTGTCCAATGTCTTTTGACTGGGAACCTTTAGAACACGGGTCTCCAACCTTGGCAACTTTAAGACTTGTGGACTTCAACTCCCAGAATTCCTCAGCCAGAATTCTGGAAGTTAAAGTCCACAAGTCTTAAAGTTGCCAAGGTTGGAGACCTCTGGACTACAGAGCAGGATACTAGATATTTCATTTGTCATTTACTTTATGCCCCATTGATACATTTGGCTAAAGTTTCTTTAATGTTTTGCCAGTATTATATTGTATACTTGTGGTTCCATATACTTAATTTCAGTAGTCTGTGCAAAGTTAGACTGTGTTGAGTTCTGGAGAAAACGTCTCTCTTTTTACTGCTTTTGAAATATATAGATATTTCTCCCTCTAGTCATCAAATTTTGGTCTTAAGCAATAGCATGCATGTATTCATTATTTTATTGTTCAAGTGTTGCTGTTGTTTGTTTTTGCTTTTTTAGCCAGTTCAATGGGGTGCCCAAATTGCTTTAAATGTCTAGTTTAGATCCTCTAAGGGATATTTATCTGCTCTGAGAAGGCCAAATTGTAAGAGTGAATTGATATTGCCTTCTCTCTCATCTGCAAGTTTCCCTTTTGACTCATCTCAGCTGGCTTCTAACACTTGGCTAGAGTCCCTAATACCTGCTATTTCAAGCCCTTTGTTCTACTCCAGTCATTCACACCCTTTATTCAGCCTGGGGCAAAGAACAATAAACATTCCAAAATCCTTTCTCATGCTAATGGATTTACTTCTCTCTGCATGGATTAGTTAAAAATCTACTATGTGTTTAAAAATAAAGAAAATAGAAGAAATAACATGGGGAGGATGGACAGAATCAAGATATTACTAGGATGTTTCTGGAAGTGCTGAGGATTGTCCCCAGGGACTGGTTTGTCAGAGGTCAGATCTGATTCAAAGGCACCTAATTCCCTGCCTACCAAGACCAACTGCTTTGCTTTTTCCATCTATATCAAGGGTCTCCAAACTTGGCAACTTTAAGACTTGTGGACTTCAACTCTCAAAATTCTCCAGCCAGCTGGAGTTGAAGTTGCCAAGTTTGGAGACCTCTGATCTTCTTGGAGTCCATGGCTCCAAAGTATCAGGATTTCTATTGTAATAGTAACTCATCATCCCTTTTGGGACTTCTTACGTACCTTTCTATTTCCTTTTAATTTCAAGCTGTCATGTAGCACAAGGGATACCTAACTTCACTTCTCTGCTCTTGTTCCCAGTCAGGACAGCTGGGACGTTGTTCAGTAAATTAATTGTATTTTTGTTGATATGTAGGGTTAGGAAGGGAGTGTTGGAATTTGTCCTCCAAAATATAAAAGGTAGCTCACACAAAGAGACATAAAAGGGAAGGACAAGCAAGATAAAATATCTATTGCAATCTTCCTCTTCGTGATATCTCCTAAGATAGGATGGGCAACAGTTATTATTTTGAGACAAATGACAACTACCATGAGCTGTGGCCAAACATAGCTGCATGTACAAGTTTTGGAGAAAAATGGTACAAAAATGTGATAGCACTTTAAGGAAACTTGCTGGAAAATTTTGAATCAATTTTGTTTGGTAATTAAGACATTGAGCTGGTCCTAGGATTTAAATCCATCATCAGCCACAGAAGTTCCTAGGTGACTTTTCACCAATCACTGCTAAAATGCCTTATTGGATTGTTGTGGAGAAATAAAAGAGAGTAGTACTGCTTTGAGAT